TTGAAATGACGTGAATCGGTGCTCGGTCGGCACTATGGAATTCGGTCGGTACCATTCGCCTGAGGTAAGTTCACTTTTCACTCAGAGGCAGAATTTCAACAGCAGAGCTGTGAATCATGATAAAAAGGTCTCTCAAAAATGACAGACCGTCAGATGTGTAGATCGTAACACGGTCTAAAATTGTCATATCGCCCAGCCCTATCCTCTAGCAGGGTTTCCCCCAGAAAATGAGTTAAGCCTGGTGGCTTTGGCCGTCGGGGGGGTTGTTGGGGCGGATCGCGAGCTCCGTCCCGCAGCGCTCCTCCGTGAGAGTGGGGGTGGGGTGGTTGCACAGGTTCCGCTGCTGTTTCTCACCAGTATCAGCAGATGGAGGGCTCTAGTTTCGTTGCGCCGCTCGTGTTGTTGTGTCAGCGGACACGCTAGGGTCGGGGAGAGGGGCGGGGCATGATGCTTAAGGTTGGTTTATGCTTGACGCGTCCGCGAGGTCCGCGCGGCAAAATTGCGTCATTTTAACAACCACGCCCCTCCACATGGCCCAAAATTTCCGCACCGCGCAACTAGGAAATTTTCCAACCACGCGGACGGTCGGACACGGAAAAACATGGCGGACTGGCACGAATTAGTATGGCAGAGGTTCATAAATGCAGACATTTGTATGATTCAGCTCTCAGAGATCACCGTGATCAACATGTTGTTAATAATTCTTGGAGAGAAATAGCTCGCACTGTCAGAAAAGACGAGGACGCTGTTAAAAATGCTGGAATGCCATGTTGTAAACAGTAATTTCTAATTCTACTATGGTGTAGTGTTGGACGCATGTAGAGCTCCATGCTGCCCCCTACAGTTTGGGAGAATATTGGCTCACCGCAGCGACAAGCCGCACGAACCAAGAATGCTTCAAGTTGTGAAGCGCGTTCCATCCGCGAGCCGCATCACCAAGCGGAAAGTGAATGCGTCAAGCATAAACCAAGCTTTAGTCTGGTGGGTGGGCGGGCAAGCAAAGCCTGGCGGGCCGCCAGACTTATAAAGCGCTGGGGGAAACCCTGGATCATGTTACAGTGTGTTTTCATATATTTATAGGCTTACTTGTCCATGAGAAGCGTCACCAACTGATACTCTATTTTTTCACAGAAAGACATTTGTCCCTTCAACACAAGTTTAGACTAAATCCAAAGGAAATTTAGATTTCCCAGCTTCCATGCGGCATTCAAATGCACCACGTACGCACAAATAAGTCAGGTGAGAAAAAGTCTCAAAAGATGTTTGTACTTGTAAACTCATCTGTGTGTGATGTAGTTTACCAGGTGATTTGTGTGAGTGGTGTTTCTATGTGTGTGTGTGTGTGTGTGTGTGTGTGTGTGTGTAAATCTATGTGTGTGTGTGCGTATATGTGTGTGTAAATGCGTGTGTATCTGTGTGTCTAGAGCCTAATTTATACTTCTCTGTCTGAGAAGCGCAACGCCATGTGTCGGCGCAAGAGCTCTCCGATGGGCTGACATAGGGGGATGGAGACAATCCCAAATTTTTAGCTTTCCGTAAAAAGCGATGGAAAAAGGCAAGCTTGTGATTGGTCAGGATGCTGCTCCTGTAAATTTAACAGCATTGGCTTTATTGAAAAAGTAAAAAGATATTTAGCGGCGGGCACAGAACAGATTGAAGAATGCATGGCAGAAAAAGTCTGAAGATGTGAACGCTTTTTCACCCGTGACTGAAGGAGGACCAAATACGGAGCAAGCCTTTTATTTGTGCCGATCGCATGAAGAAGTGGATGGGGGACAAATTTGTTTGTGTTAAAAAGTCTCTAAAATACATTCAAACAATGTAAACACAATAGTAAATAAACTGTCGTGGACCGGATATGTGACTGTAATGGTGGCAGGATATCTCAGAATAACGCTACGCCCTCTGTTGTCCTGGAGGGGAATTATTTTGCAAAAATTCAGCTGACGGAGAAGCCTGAGAACAAACCATCTCCGTCAAAGTGTCTCTCCGTAGTGGAGCTGACGGAGATGTATAAATTAGGCTTAATTTTTCTCAAAAGCCATCAATGATAATATTAACAGTTCCCATGTTCTGTTTGCTACTGTCGAGAGGCTAACTAATCTCCCAGCACAGTTAGCCCCGGACTTCATATGTCAGACCAGATGTGATGAGCTTGCATCCTTCTTCAATAAAAACATCACAAACATTATATCAGCCATTCATTCCTCTACATCAACTAACACAACCAGACCACTGACACAGCCACACAGCAACAACCTGGCCAGGACGCCAACTTTCACCCTGATTAGTACTAAAACACTGAATGACATAGTAAAGGCCCTAAATCCCTCTACCTGCTGTCTGGACAGCCTGCCTACAAACTTCTTTAAAATGTTTTTAGTTGCTTAAAAGCTGAGGTACTGGAAATTGTTAACTGTTCTTTACCTTCAGGGCTTTTTCCTAAACCACTGAAAACTGCTGCTGTGAAACCCTTCTAAAGAAGAGGAAACTAGATCCTCAGTGTTGAACAACTACTGACCGATCTCTAATCTCCCTCTGATGGAGGAATCATTGAAAAGGTGATAATGATCCAAATAAACAACTATTTACAGTCAAATAACATTACGGACGGTCTTCAGTCAGGCTTTAGACAGCACCACAGCACAGAGACTGCACTGATCAAGGTATTAAACCACATTCGTCTCAACACCGATTCAGGTAAAGCGTCTGTCCTGATAATGCTTGACCTCAGTGCAGCTTTTAATACTGTGGACCATAACATTTTTCTGGACTGGACAGACTGAAACTGGGTGGGACTATCAGGCACAGTTGTTGGCTGGTTCCAGTCCTATCTCAAAGACAGGGGCTATGTTGTCTGTATTAGAGAATACCAATCAAAGCAGATCACCAGGACATGTGGGGCCCCCCAAGGCTCAATTCTTGACTTGACTTAACTTGTACTTTGTTTCGAACTAACGTAAAAAAATAAATAAATAAAAAATACATTTTTTATACAACACAACTCGACACAAAAGCAATCAAATAATAAAGTCCAAAAAGGAGTAGTTAGAAGTAAAACTTGTAGATTCCTACCCCCTTCTCACTTATTCTTATTCAACTTATCTCAGAAACAAAATTTAAAAATTAAGAAACATATTTATATAAAAATAACAATAATATAGAGTAACAAATAGATTAAACATACTCAACAATCAACTTCTTGTATAATCAGGTGTGCACATAAGTGGTCCGCAGGTGCGCATGCGCTGTCAAATTAAACAATGCGCACCTGAAAAAAAGAGGCAGCACGCATTTGCACACCTAAGATTTTGTGGAGGAAGACACCACATTTCTGGAGCATTTTAAAGATGTCCAAGAAGCAAGCTCTATTAAGTAATTATTTTGGTGTTCCTGCGCCTCCAAAAAAATGTCAGACTGAGTCGGAGCCGCAAAAGAAAAGAGTATTCGCGGAGAAGTGGCTGCAGGAGGTCAGCTGGCTTCAAACAGACGATGAACGCACAGAGATGTGGTGAGGAGCAGAACGCTCCGTCTGTGCTTCGGTATGTAGGTCACTGCGGTGGTGGTGGAGGTGAAGGCGAAGAGCGAGGACAGAACCGCTCTGCTTCTCATCTGCAGCAGCTGTGGGGGCAGCTCTGTCTTGTTGCGACTAACTGTTCCCACAAGACACATTTTATTTTGGAGCAGCTCTTCTCCAAGGGCTAGTGATGTGAAAAAATTGTCCGTGGTGACAGTGCGGCCGCTCAGTCCCTCGTTGAGCTCCAGCACCACTCGCCTCCCTTGCTCCCTTTCTGCAGGGGCATCTCGCGTCATCTTGCCCAGGTAGGGAATAATCCCCCACGCATAAGAAGAGGCTACATCGCACAACACCCACAGCTTGAAGCCATATTTTGCTGGCTTTGAGGGCATATACTACTTGGAAGTTGCAGCGACCTCTGAATCCGACGAGCTGTTCGTCCACACACACATCTTTGTTGTAGGCAAGAGGGAGCCGGGCCACCCGGAAGTCCCACACCTCCAGGAGGGGAGCGAGCTTGTACTGCTGCACCAACCGGCGTGCTCAAGCGGTCATCAAACCGCACTGCTGTCGCCAGCAAATGGAACCTTCGCAGGCTCATTGTGGCTCTGAAAATCGGCCTCCCCGTTTCCTCCCCCCAGAGGCTTGCATTAGATTCCCCCAGGAACGGAGCACCCCCAGCGGGAACAAGCAGCCCAAGGAATGCACGGAGTTCCACGTAGTCAACATCCGTCCAGTTGTCATACTTTCTCCTCCCCTCTATATTAACCCCTCTATATCACAGATCTGTCTTTTGAAGATTTGTAAAGTGCTTTGATCCCTGCATGCATGCATGCCTGCACAAGCACACACAGTGACACATGACAAAATGCCATTTTGAGAATGAGCAGATTTTCTACTTTCAGTAAAGGCTTATTTTTTTAAGGCACACTGTAAAAACACAATTATCAAAAATTCAGAACACACATATGAAAACTATTGTATGGAATCTCTAAATAACACACAAACCTTTTTATTTATTTATTATTTTTTTTTACAAAATATGTATTATAATGGACAGTCAGAGGTAAAGAAATACAGCAGAATCATTTAATTTAAATGCAGTGTCAGTCATTGCCCTGCAATATATGGAGAAAATATGCCATCTAGTGGAAAACGGTAAAAACTAAACATTGAATGTGTGACTCGTCTGGGAACACATTTTTTAATTATGCTAATATTTATGCTTATAAAAATATGATTTATATGGAAGTCAATGGCGCAAAAAAATGCAGAAAGATGCTTAACGCTACAAAAACATTTCTGCGTTATAATAAAGGGAGTTGAAGATTTTTTCTAACTATTTTTAATACTTCCTTCACAAATACACACCCTCCCCAAAATTAGATAAATTGCATTAACATTGCCAAAGTTATTCACAAAAATACACGTGTCAGCACAAAAAAATGCTTTAATGTTGGGTAAGGGTTAAGCTCGTACTCACATGATGAGTGCCTCCCATTCAAAAAAGTTCTCCTCGTTGGCTGGACCTGCAAAACAGACATCTGTGTTATTACCTGCCTTAACTATTAACCCACTGTCGAAAAAAAAAAAAACCAAACAACTACGAAACAAAGACAGAAGTGCATGATGTGCAAGGACAAAAATTACAGCGTGCCTGGAACGGTACATGCACATCAGGGCAGAAGCAGAGACAGCAACCATCAGAACGACTGTGTTGGGGATATTTTAGATTTCCAAAGATGCTAAAGGAGACACTCGGGACGATGGCTCCGCAAAATGCCTGGGACAATTGTTACCTTAACCAATGGGACCCACCGCCCATCATCAGACAAAAAAAAAGATGATGGGCGATTATTACGTGCATGTGACGCCATGACGCATGACCTGATTTGCAAATACAGAAGAAGTCCAAAACAATTTTTTATATACAAGTGCAGTGCATATGTTTGCTGGAAGAGAAATTTAGATTTTTCTTTTGTTAAATTTTGTATTTGTAGTTTGGTAGTGAGGTATCGTATTAAACATGGTTCAAGTGTTAAAAGTAAGCCTCGTCTTTGTGTTTCCCCGTGGTGCCCACCATTGTGGTACTTTATTTAAGCAAACAGTTTTTCTTCTGAACAGACTACTGGGTTTCTTTCTTTTATAAGTTAGTTGGAAACGGACTAAATCACTGCTGCGTTTGGATACACTCTGAGAAGGCAGCTCTCTGGCAGAGGTCACATGATCCATTTATTCCTGTCACTTTCACTTTTTAAATAAAGGATAATTCCTTAAATTTCCACTCAGGTGTGCACCATGCTGTGAACGTACGGTGTGACCCACTCTGTAATGGCTTTTGAGCCGTCTCACGACCAAATCAGCCTCAGTCTTTAAGCATGCTTGAAAACCTATGACTCCCGTCTGTAACCGACCAATGAAAACACACCTCTGGGACGCCGCAGCAGCAAGACTCCGCCTCGCTGAGCTTGCGGATTATAAACTACACACCAGTTATTATTTCTGTTAATAGCCCAAGTTCAACTGCAGTTATACTTAAATATTTAAACTACATTTGTAGACCATCAGAATAATTGTGAAAAACGTGATTCTGTGAGGGTGAGGAGATCAGCTCATAAATATAAAAATTAAAACACAAAAACAAGAAATCACATTGACTGTCACGATTCTGCTCAGGACGAGGGATTTGGCTAACACGGCCAAAAATCGCAGTGTGAGCCGGGCATTACACCGAGTTACGCAACTAGGAGCTGATAAAATAATAAATACTCATAGTAATAATCAATAAATTTATATCACAACACACAAAGTTTTGAGATTTTTAATTTCCTTTCTGAACTATTTAGTCTGATGAGTTTTAATGTTTTAAATCTGTTAGTTTGTTACTGACAGCAGCTACATTATAGTTTCAGTTTCTCTTCTGACTGAATCGCTGCTGCAGCATGAAGGTGTAGGTTCTCAGTCATCCTAGACATCATCCTCCATCCATCCATTTTCGGCCGCTTAGCCGGAGTCGGGTCGCTGGAGTAGGAGCCTAAGCAGGGAGGCCCAGACTTCCCTCTCCCCAGCCACTTGGGCCAGCTCCTCCAGTGGAATCCCAAGGCGTTGCCTGGCCAGCCGTGAGACAGTCTCTCCAGCGTGTCCTGGGTCTTCCTTTAGGCCTTCTCCCGACTGGACGTGCCCAAAAAACCTCACCAGGAGGTGTCCAGGAGGCATCCTGACCAGACGTTCGAGCCACCTCAACTGGCTCTTCTTGATGTGGAGGAGCAGTGGGTCTACTCCTAGCCCCTCCCGGACGACCAAGCTTCTCACCCTATCTCTAAGGGAGGGCCCAGCCACTCTTCGGAGAAAACTCATTTCAGCCGCTTGTATCCGTGATCTCCTTCTTTTGGTCACTACCCAAAGCTCGTGACCATAGGTGAGGGTAGGAACATAGATTGACCGATAAACCGAGAGCTTTGCCTTCTGACTCAGCTCTCTCTTCACCACGACAAACTGGTACAACGCCCACATCACTGCAGATGCAGCACCAATCCGCCTATCGATCTCATGCTCCAGCTTTCCCTTACTCGTGAACAAGACCCGAGATACTTGAACTCCTCCACTTGAGGCAGGACCATGCCCTTGCACCTCCAGGGTCTTCCCACTGAGCTTTTTGAGGTGAGAATATAAACTACTTCTGACAGGAGACTGCCAGATGTTCCCAGCAGACCCTCACAATACGTTTGGGCCTACCAGGTCCGACCGGCATCCTCCCCCACCATCGAAGCGAACTCACCACCAGGTAGTGGTCAGTTGACAGCTCTGCCCCTCTCTTTATGTTTAGGTTTGTGTATTTAGCAGACGCTTTTGTCCAAAGCGACTTACAAGTGATAATCGGCATGTTGCCCTTGAGGCTAACAACAACAATAACAACTTGACATCAATCAGGCTCTTTCGGCTCTTGGAGGGTGCAGACACTTTTTCCTCCTCTCCTCCATATCTTATCCTCAAGGCCCTTTGTCTGTCTCTGTGTGCAGGGTGCACGGCTGCTTCTGCATTTTTCTGGAAACTGAAATTCACTAAAATGGATCTCGTCAGCTGATCTCTCAGCGCGATTGAAAAAATTATTTCAACGATGAGAATGGGAGAAGGGGCTTCCGGATGCCCCTCTGGGACAGACTCAGTTGGACACGTCATGGACTCCTGGAAACAGTGGAACTTGATTTGTTTATCTCAGCTGTCTGTGGAGGACTCTGAAGATGTGTGGATATTCGTAGTGTTGATGTCAGGTTTCCTGCTCATTGGCCTTGGAGGCTTCCTGGCTTACCGTAAAATTAACGAGCTGTCGAGGAATATTGGCCTGATCCCCGAGCTCAGAGATGGTTTGCACCGTGCTGTGAATTCACAGACTCACATAATTGTCAAGATAAATCGTAAGCTTGGGACTTTGGCGGAGATTGATTCATGGGCACAAAAGATGGATGCCATCAAGGAGACAGTGGACGAATCAGCATGGATTGGGATAGATTAATGTCCATTATTGGGATTTTGAGAGGTTGAGGACCAACAAACTGTAAGACAGAGAGGAAATTATCTCTGTCTGGCCCCAAAACAATTTCGAAAAGGAATCTGCCGCCCTTGAGCCTGCAAGGCTCCAACGAAAACTCCCCCCTCAGAAGATATGGAATGTGCCGTCGCTATGGCAACTCAACTCCGTCTCCTTTCCCAGAATGGGCGGGACTGCGGGAAGGCCGCTGAAACGTTCCAGGGTCAGTGCAACCCTCCAACTCTCAATGCACCTCCCCCTAACCACACAGAGGTGACATGCGCTGCTTATTATGGCTGCAGGAACTGAATTGGGGATAGTCCCAACCCACCACCCCACCTAGTGGACACATATGTTGTGTTGTCTGAAGTCTGTTGCATATCTGTCTGAGGTGTTTTTTTGCAGAGCAAAGCTGCCCTCCCGGTGGAGGGTAGCTCTGAAGTGCCTTTTTTTCCCTCCACCTGAACCAATCCTCATGTAACCCTCTTATCTCTATTAAGGTAGCGCGACTCAGGTTGCCAGTCTCCAGACCTAAATCCAATCGAAAATCTTTGGAGGGAGCTGAAACTTCGTGTTGCTCAGCACCAGCCCCAGAACCTGACAGATCTAGAGAAGATCTGTGTGGAGGAGTGGGCCAAAATCCCTGTTGCAGTATGTGCAAACCTGATCAAGAACTACAGGAAGCATTTGATCTCTGTGAATGCAAACAGGCTTCTGTACCAAATAATAATACTGATTTTCTCAGGTGTTCAAATACTTATGTACAGCAGCGCAAAACAAATAAATTCTTTACAAATCATACCATGTGATTTCCTGACTTTTTTTTTTACATTCTGTCTCTCACAGTGGGAATGCACCCATAATGTGAACTTCAGACCCCTCCATGATTTCTAAGTGGGAGAACTTGCAAAATCGCAAGGTGTTCAAATACTTATGTTCCTCACTATAAATGGGTTACATTTAATCTAAACAGCAATTTAAGGCAACACTGCTGTTATTCTGATAGCGGGTTAGCTAATTAGCATTTTGAGGGATTGTCAAGAGCCTGGAAAAATCCAAATACACACAGCAAATTTTAACGGGTTACACACAACTATTTACAAAAACAGACAACTTTATATTCATTTGTATTTCTGATATAAAACACTACAGTTATGAGCTTTCTCCTCTGATATTCCGAGTTTAACATATTGAGATGCAGTGCATTTATGGGACATTAAGTTGTCTCAAGTCTGCAGAAGGATGCATTGATCCTCCATAAAATGGGCGGAGCAAGAACAATCTGGGAACTTTGAACTTGCCATGTTATGTACTTAGCACTGGAACAGTACTTGGGATAGCGTTGATGAAGCTTCACAAGAATGCGAGTACATAGGTTCACACAAGTACGCATAATGAGAAACGGCCAAGGTGAGGCATTAGCGCCACCTCTGGACCACAGCGGGAACAACAGGTGCTGCCCTCTTCATAAATTATTAATGTGAGCTTTTAAAATGTAGTTATTGGATTTACGTTTTAACCTTTTCCTCATTTAAAGGGACTTTACGGCGTTTTGAATTTTTATGCTCGCTATTGCCCCCTCAGGCCAAAAGCGTAAGGGCAGCTTCAATAGTAGGCTCGTGCAGGAGGCGCGCATGCTGTACGTGCACACTCCTTAACGAAAATAACAGCTGAGACAGTCCCGTGTGTGTGTGGCCCAGAGGACAGAGGACAGGAGAAAGCACAGCTAATTAAATAATTTGGTTCTGTACCTTTCTCTTCAGCACAGCTGACAAAGGTTTAAGATGGGTCAGTCTTCCTGCATGCTCAGATCATTCCCTTCCCTTGCTTGAAAAATTGTTCCAAAATGAAAGTTGAACCCACATCTTTTTTTATCTGTGAATTCAATGCCGTTCGGCGAGTCTCAAATAAAAATTTGGGCATCTTCCTGTAAAAAAATATATACCATTAATGTAAAAAAGAAACTAAGTAGGTTCACATCCAGAATGGAACCCGGGTCTT